GTAAAACCCTGTTGAAATAGAAGATTTAGATGTTGAACTAACATCAACAGCATGAAAACACTAGAAATAATTATAAGGATTAGATTTCATAGCACAATGGTCCTTTTGGAATTTCCTCAGTAGACAAGTATCTAAGAAAAAAAAAAAATTACTGTATTTTAAAAACAGAGTTTCAGGGTCACTAAAATAACTTGGACAGCTATTTATAGTTTGAGCAGAGAAAGTGTAAATCTTGCATTCTGCCCAAACACAAGAACAACTTCTTAAAGTAAAATCTGTCCTAAAAAATGTTTTTATTGGTGTACAAAACTAATACATGAAAGTGTCTGGTAGTTACAGAGTATCTACTGATTGATTCAGCACTACAGAAAATCCCATAATACCAATGTGTAAAGACACAGCAGCAATTCTGATTTCTTTTTATAAACTAGAGACCTTACTGGTTTTGCCTCCCAAGGCCATTCACAACTGAACACTATCCTTTCCCCATGTCCTGGTTTCGGCTGGGATAGAGTTAATTTTCTTCCTAGTAGCTGGCATAGCGCTGTGGTTTGGATTTAGTACTAGAAGAATGTTGATACCACACTGCTGTTTAGCTGTTGCTGAGCAGTGCTTACACCAGTCAAGGACTTTTCAGCTTCCCCTGCTCTGCCAGGAGCACAAGAAGCTGGGAGGGGGCACAGTCAGGACAGCTGACCGCAACTGACCCCAGGGGTATCTCACACCATATGGTATCATTGCTCAGCATATAAAGCTGGGGGAAGAAGGAAGGAGGGGACATTTGGAGTGATGCCGTTTGTCTTCCCAAGTCACCGTTAGGCGAGATGGAGCCCTGCTGTCCTGGGGATGGCTGAGCACCTGCCTGCTGGTGGGAAGCAGGGAATGAATTCCTTGTTTTGCTTTGCTTGCGTGCACAGCTTTTGCTTGACTTACTGAACTGTCTTTGTATCAACCCATGAGTTTGCTCACTTCTGATTCTCTCCCCCATCCCACCAGGGGAGGGAGTGAGTGAGCGGCTGTGCGGGGCTTAGTTGCCAGCTGGGGTTAAACCACAACACCCCATCACTCTTATTTAGAGATAAGTGAAAAACCTCTTATACACAAGATTAGCTGAAAAGCTGCCTTGACTTTTTTGGTAACTTTTCGGTTAAACATTAAGCATTACAATTAAGAGCATTCTGCAGTGCCATTGGATAGGACACAATAGAACAGATCCCACCATTGCTTAGAAATGCAGTATCCCCAAACTCCACAAAGTAAAACAAAGAAGTGGGTCTGGTACAGCTCTACAATGTAACAACTGTGCAGAAAAAAATCATTATGCCATTATTTGCAACAACTTGTAATACTGAAAATCTTCAGTTACACTTTAAAGTCCACCCAAACTCAGAAACACAGTTTTCTAACAATTACTCTTGCGTCTGCCCAGAAAGGTGCTATGACAAAGGACAGCACTGTATTTACAGACCTTCTAGTCCCTGTCAGTCTTGTAAGGAGAATTCAGTAGGCAAACAGAGTTCCCTCACGCTGCAACTCTAAGGCTGATGGCACAATCATCTAACATCAGAACAGCAATACTAATTAGGAAAATGCACCACTGACATCTGCAAAAATAGAATTTCCATGTAGCTTGGTGCTCTTGGCATGCCATTTTGGTATTTTCATACTAAAATTAAAGGTACATTAAAAAGTTTCTTTGTACTGAATTTGTGTAATAATATCTTAACTAATATCTTAACTTACTCTGTCATAAAGTGTATCATCCTCCCCATCATCCATCAGTGGGACTGAGGTGTCGAAGAAGTGTTTGGATCTTTCTTCTCTATTCTTCATGCCTGTAAAAGGCAAACAATGTTTGAGCATAGTATTTATGCACACTAAAATCAGAGTAAGAGTAAGATCTGAAGCACCAGATAGAAAAGCACAAGAAAGAAAGTCTGGCTAATAATGACATAAAAGACAGTATCTAAATTTTACCTCCCACACAGGCTTACTATTTAACAAAGCATTAAAAAAAAATCAACCAGGCTTGCAAGAGTCCAATTAAATCAGTGACTTTAAGTCATTATGTTCCATGAAGTTAAAAATATGAGGTAAGTTAAGAGCCTTAAAGTATGGTCACTCTAGGCTATTTTCTAATATATTCTCTCAGAAACATCCCTTGTCTGAATTGTGATCTTAAGTTCCACCTGTGCCATTTATATCATGGGAGGAAGAAGTATTGTATCAGTATTAAATTTGAAGATCAAATTTTTGTGGGTTTCTTCCAAGATTAAAAAAATCTTACTTAGCTGAAAATAGAATGGCACACAATTTTAGAATTTTAAACAGAGGATATTCCACTTCTGATCTGTTTGTGGTGCAGAAGTTTAATTTATTACAGACTACCTTTTGAAGTTTTATCTACCACAGACTACCAATCGACAGCAGGTATTATGTCTGGAAACCAATGGCTGCTTCACCAGTGTAATAGAAGGAGCTTTGCAGTCCACAGTTTGAGAAGCAATGATGCATTAAAAGTGTGGATGGATGAAACCCACTGGTTTTGTTGATATATTTAACCATGAAATTTTTCCTTTAGCAATATGAAAGAGAGGTAGAATAAAGCAGTTTGAACATGGGCTGTGAACCAGAAACTCCCAAATTCTAACCTCCACTCTACTATACTTCTGGTAGCCCTGCATGCATCATTTAACCCTTCTGTGCTCCAGTTTTCCCAAGCAAGAAATTAAGCACACCTTAATTAGTGCTTTCCACAGAAGGTGCCCGTGTATTATGGTATCCCTTATGCTTACGTTTGAGATAGTCAGACTGTGCATGCCTAAAGTTGGTGGATAGGTCCTGAAGGGACTGTGCTAAGGAAGACACTACATTCCTGAGAACACGTGCTTCTTGTTCTGTACAACTACGCGACCTGCTCTGCAAGACCTGGACTGCTCTCTGACATCTGTGAAATAACTGAGAAAACAATTCCATTAGTAAAAAAAAAAAAAACAATTCCATAAAGCAACACACACTTTAAATATCACATTGCTAAAGTTCCAAATGGATGACTAACATTTTGATTTCTAGATTTTTAAAATTAATTTCTTATTGCCCAGTGTAATGTTTAAAAAGGCATGGAAACACAGAACACAGAAGAACAAAACTTAAAGATAACAGGGTAGCAGAGTAACTACTTCTGACCAAAGACACTTGCTTCATTATAACTGCTTAGACTGGAAGCCTTAGGGTAGCTATCTGTATTTCTGAGATATCTGTAAATGTGATTTGATGAAACCTCCTAATCCTATTCCAAGCAGAAAAGCAAACAGGTAAAAGAACAGGGAGGTTAAGTGACTTGTTGAGAAGTTCATGGAGACACTGAGTGCAGTAGCAAGCCTAGAGCCCAGGACTTCTGGCTCACTCTAATACTGATTACAAAAGAAATGCTTTAGTCAAAGGAAACCACTGCCTCATCATGATGCATTATAGATATGTCAAACTGTAGGTTTAGAATTGAAAGCAGTCTGTACCTGTGTGATCTCTTGGGTTGTTATTTCTATTGCCCGTTCTTCTTCACTGCTGTCATCCAGTGTTGGTCTATTTAGATGTTTATCATGAAGACTGGCTAATTCTTTCATCTTCTGTTTAACCCTGGCGATATCATACTGAATCTAAAACAGAAAACCCAAGAATGAAGAACGGGAAGCGACTAATGTTTCAGAGGAAAAGTTTCTGACAAATGCTAGACCAAAATTGTTGAAAGAAATCTATGTAAAGCAGACCAAAGGTCATTAAAAAAAAAACAACCATAAAAAACTGACAAAGAAGTAACTGAATACTCTCATATACTTTGAGTTTGCTACTTTTTAAACCTGCTCTTGTTAATCTTAGGCAAGACTGCTGTTTCCAAATATGCTTCATTAAGTTGGAATAATATTTTTGTCACTAAATAATTAATACCGTAGTACAAAGGTTTAGTCAACTTCCAAAAATATAAATGAAAATTCAGGTCACACCTTCCACTCTGTCAAATACTGAATAGCCTGAACTTAGCATGTCATTTAACTTCTGCTGTTTTCAAACAAGTCATTAAAAATAAATCTGTAAGGATGATGATTATCGTAGTAGACAGGAGACTGATCATCTTTCTGCACAACAGGTTTTGTATGCACAAACTGAAGAGCCAACATGTGTTCTGAGAGTACATTTTAGAAGGATTTTCTGAAAGTCAAGAATAGCTTCTCAGTCCAAATACTGGAAAAGGTTTTTAATCGGATGCCTCCAGAATCATTCCCTCGCATTTGTCCAAATACTTCCATAACTTGCAAGGCATCAGTACTGCGTAGGCAGGAAAAATTCTCCTGCTAGAAGACTAACACTTTCTGTTTTCAAATAGTAAACTGCTACTCTTCACCATTTGAGGGTCTACTCAGTTGGACCCTTCAATGGGTTCAAACAAAAAGTCTACTGGAAGTGCTAATTTTTTTGTACACTTCCTTCTAAGTTTCAAACTGAGAACAACTTTGCTTTGCTAAGAACTTTAGAACTTCCCTGCAGTCTCAAGTCTAAATGTTCAGCTACAGCATGCCTATCTTAATGGTCCCAGTGTATTGTTAATACTGGGCTCCCACTGATGACTCAAACCCAGTCTTCTGGAATTTCTGGCCCTAGATAATCTCCCTTTATTTCACTTGCAATATATCCTTCAAGATAGTAAGTCACAGCTTGCTTGATATTTTCCTCTAAACAAGGGTGTCAATTTAGAAAACACACTTATTTTAATCTTTCTTCTAATAACTACTTCTATCATAAAACTTACAGCATTGAGAACATAACTGAACAACACTAATAAATCCCTACATGAGAAATCAAACTCTGTGTTGGATTTGCCACGCAACTTACTTCATCTGCTCCATCAACCCATTTGGGAGGTAAGCGTTTTGTTACTCCAATTGCTGCTTCGGGATCTAAACTTATTCCTGATACCAGTGCCATACGATCATCAGCAAGCTACAGAAGATAAAAAAAGACAGCAAATTAATTATACTCAAATTGGATCCAAACCCTTGAGCATTAGGAAAAGTGCATATATGCCTTCACATAAAAATTAACCTCAAAAAAGCGTTTGTGTGTGATGCAGGTATGATCAAGCTCCACATCTCCTGGTTTGTCCCTAGATGCTAATGACCTACATCCTCCCACTTCCTACAGGGTCTGAAAGATGAAAGCTACACTTAGAATAAATTCTTTGCAGATTTTTCAAGGAGAAAATATGGTACTGCAGTGAGAATTCAAGTTAATTCTTATGTTGGTACATTTTGTATTAGACAATGATTCACAGCCAAGAGATCAATGGTGTGCCATGGCTTATATTGGGTCAGGCAAGTCTGAAAATCTCATTTGGGAAAAATCTCCAAGTAAAAATGTTTATTGTATCTCCAAGAAATAGAAACAGTATCCTGTGATTGTTCTCAAACAATGTTGTATTTAGCCAGGCACCCACCTACTAGGCAGCTGAAGAATAAACACTCTTGCAAACTGACATGCAACTAAAATTGTTAAATTATTTATTTAACGGAAATGAAAAGGTGCTAAACAAAAATAGCCAAGGAATTGACCAAGCCACACTTCCCTATATCAATGATACATGCTTGCTGCTTCACCTATACGGTCTGAGGTAAAGAAACTTGCGGGAAAATGGGTGGAATAGTTCTCCAGAAAATTCCAGAGATTGTCAGAGAGTAAATAAGAGAATGTGCCAGCCAGCTTATATACAGCTTTCCGCACATCCACAGGAGGGCTGGAGATAGGGAAGGAGTAAAAGAAACCCTTTATCACAATTAATAGTCATAATTTGAGTAAGTTGGATGCAACAAATCAGGGGATTATATCATTGGAGACTGATGCACACTGATGTACAGCAGCACACAGCTGTAGTTGCAGAAGGGTACGGTATACTTTTTGGAGACTATTTTTGGGAACAGAATCCAATTTGTAGGGTTGAAACATTAAAAGGTTGTAGGAAAAAACCCACACAACTCATTAGAAGTATTTTTTAAGAGTCAAAATGCCTATGATAAATCTATCAGAATCTTAGTTTTTGAATAATACTTTTTGATGCATATTGAATAATTTCAACCTCAAGAAGGCTTAAAATATGACAACTATGAAGGAATAAGAATATAATGTGCAGGGTGTTTGTTTTAGATTTGTTTGCTTGCTTTTTTAAAGCTCAGTTTGGCAGACACCAAAAGCCATGGTCTGGTCTTGAATATACAGGTACAGATTAATTTATCTGCTTTGATATCATTACCAGTAATGTGTGCTGTTCGCCCTCAATAAGAAGTCTTTTGTTAAGGACAGTATTAGTGCCACTGACCTTTAAACAGATCAGAAGATTTTTCTTGGTAGGGTTTAGAAACTTATGTAAATAGACTCAGCACTACAGTGCAGGTACAAACTCATTTCTACAATGGCGCAGTATTGGATGAGGTTGTCCAGAGAAAGTACGGTATCTTTGTTCTTGGAGGTCTCCAAGACTTGCTTAAACAAAGTCATGGATGACCCTAAGTAATTGCCAATAGTCCTGTTTTGAGCAGGAACTTGAGCCAGAAGATCTACAGAAGTTCCTTCCAACAAGCATGCCTATGCTTCTCAAATTTAAGGCTGAGTATGATGCACACCTAACGGTGTGCAGGGCCACAGAGCAACATTTAGTACCAGGGCCATAGACACTTCCAGTCATCTTCCTCCTCTGAGAGGAAGGCATGGGAGTGGATGGAACTGCAAGACAAATATAGATCTTGTTGCCAGTTGAACCAGGCTTTGTAATTTCAGAGATAAAATAAAATAACCTTCCTTCACTGGAGACCGAAAGAGGTGGTATCATCAATTATACCAAATGAAACATACCTAATTACTTCACTGTTTGTTCTCAGGGAAAGATTTCACACAAAAACCTCACTTCCTAGTTTCTACCAGATTTTTAATTTTCCTTTCTCAGGCCTAGAAACCTTTGTGGTTCCCCACCCTGTCACCTTTTCAAAACACAATCCCTCTTCCTTCCTGGGCAATTCTTTCCTGAAAGTCTGTTTTTTATCCCTGACCTTATTTCCTGACCAATAAAGTTTGTACAGTTTATGCACAGCATAAAAAATAGTCAATAGCTTCATTGTACAAAGTCATTATGTCGCATATGTATACAGTAAGTCAGATTAGCTTATACATGTATCTATTAACAATGCAACATTATATCACAAAATGCTTGTCTTCTCTATGCAGCCTTGTCCATCTAGTGTATACAGAGACACCTCATCCTATCTAACAAAATTTAATGAACTAGCAGAATACAGAAAGGAATGTTTTAGTTCAACGATGTATGTTTGGTGTACCACGGCAGAATAAAATGTGAAAAGCAATACCTCATCCAGCTCCTGAAGTGATTTGTGGATCCCATCAGCCCCATCCAGTTAGAGACAGCAAAAGATAAAAGGGAAAAAAAAGACATAGGACAGATATAGGGTATGGTAAGTTGAGAAAATACTAAATTATTTTTTCAGCATGATTGTTTACCAAGAACAAAACAAACGGGCTTTTAAAACACAACTATTCTATAAATACATCATGATATTTTACTTTTTAAGTCAGCATTTTGCTTGGTGCACAAACTTTTAAAAAAATATTTCAGTTGCTTGGTAAACAGAAAGAACATAAGAGATCAAGTTAAGAACTCAATTTATTTTCCAAAGTAACTGCACAGTGAAATTTCTAGTTACTAAAATTTCAGGTAGAAAAATTGCAATAGAATATATTGAACTGTGACAGCAAGGGCAATTTGACTGCAGTATTCAACGTCCACTGGCGAGTGAGAAGGTTTGATTATGATTGGAGGATGCACATACAAGCTTTTGGAAGACATTTATTGACAAGTACCCCAGTTATCACAGGATAAAACAGACAGCAAAAGACAAAAAGCGAAAGCAAACATAGTATAAGCTCACTTATGTACACACTTCAGTTATGCTCTAGTTTCAGGTAACAATAATCCTACATGCATCTGAAAAAATATAAAAGGCGAGTGTCTGCAACATATCTGCACCTTCTCTATTCATCAGTCTGTGTACTGCAGAGGGCATGCGTGAGCAATAGGATATTTCACTGAAAGATTAATAAAGTAAGCATATCAGAACTAAAACAAGGACAAAATACTTGTGGTTTAAACAAAGCAGCAGGCTTCAACTAATGGTCCCTCTTATCATATACCAAGCTTTTGAAATAGGACTGTACTCTTATAAATGCTACTTGATTATTTGCATTTAAGGAGTGGTTGACTGTCCACATGAGAACGCGTCTGTTGGGGCAGAATGCAATTTTCGACAGAGAGCTCTCACAGGAAAGGATTTCTTCAGGAGAAGCCTGGAGAGTGAACTAAGGTAAGCCAAAGTACTGTGAGCCAGAATTTGCAACACTGCCCTGCTGGCCTGTGGCAGCTCTGCTCTGGGGATACCACCCCAAAGAAAAGGTAATTAACTGCAACTCTGACGGGGATAGGCACCTTGGAAACACGAATAACTCATAGCATCATCTTTACGCTTCTTGCAGAAATAGTACGCTTGTACTAAGTAACTAGGGAACTCTCAACTATCCACCAGGATCAAGACTGAGCCATTGACTAACTTCATCCACTGCACAAGAGCGACAATTTCCAATCACTGTTGGCTTTGATTGCATTTGAATGAGCATCCTGGAAAGCAGCTTCAATTAACATTAACAAACACTGCAAATAAACGTTTTATGCAAGTGCTAAGTGTTATTGCACTCACTGTTGAGTTAAAGCACAGCTTCACTGCTCAGTAGCCCGTGTGTGAGTTTAAACTATCACTGACTTTTCTAGGTGATATTAAAAAAAAAATATTCAAGGATCTTAAAAAAGTTATATTAATATTGGCAAACCCCCACGTTAACAAGCACTAAATGCAGTGCCAAATTAAACATGCTTAATACACATTACTATTGACAGTTCCTGTTCTGCAAATGCAATTTAATACGTAGCTTGTTAGACACGGGTGTAATAAAGTTAACAATGAGCAAAGACCATTCAACAACCACTCATCAATTGAAATAAAATTTGCAGCACAAAGTACTGCTTTGCCTAGCAAAAATGCATTAATGCAAAGCAATTTAGAATGATGAGACTGCCAGCAGATATTTACTGGTGACTATTACAGATAAATTATAAGTTTGAACAGAAAGTGTAAAAATCTCAGTAGAGCTGAGCTGCCAAGTGGTCCATTGCAGTCTGACTACCTCAAAACTTAGAAAAAGTGGCACAAACTGGCACTGAAAAAATGGCTTTTGGGAATGTCTATAATGAGGACTCAAACTACAATCTACTGACTCCCCTCTCCCACAGATGCTTTCGGTATTATTTGTATTTAGGGGGGAAAAAAAACAGGCAGCGGACATCAGAGCAAATTATGGAAAAATTCAAGCAATGAGAATATTCTACACTAATGTATTTAACAGTGCCCACAGTGAAGTGAATAGAAGAGTTCTGCTTTATGAAATAACTTGGATTTTTTCTTTGGGGAAAAGACTCATCAAAAAGCGCAGTGGATGAAAAACCTCGTGTCAATGCTAACATGAATTTATTAGAACCGTAAGGCTATTTATTCCCATGGAGTGAATAGAGACGTGGTCAGCACAAAGGCAGATCTCTTCTATTCATTTTCCGTGAAGTAGTAGGAAAAAGGCATCAACAAGGTGGGGAGGGAGGGGCAGAGGGGGAAAGTACAGAGGACGGTGGGGTTCTGAGGGGAGGGCTCGGAGAAAGGGAGCTGGGGAGAGCCGGGCGGGCAGGGGGGGCCAGGGCAGGCTGCAGGGCCAGGCGGGGAGCGGGGCACACGGCAAGGCTGCCTGGCAGCCCCAGGCGCGGCAAGGTACAGTAGGATGAAGGGAGGAGACTCACCGCAGCAGCCATGCTACGTGAACTCAGAGGGCTGGAGGAGCCGTAACTACTCACTTGCTCGGCCAGCAGCTGCCGGCTCTGCACCGC